GTATTCTTTGATCCGGGGTAAGGTTCTATCACTCTATGCCCTTTCTCATTGGGGGGGGGGGGGGGGGGGGGGGGCTTATTATTAAACGTTAAAATGTGAATTTACACAAATTTGGACTAATGTTTTTGATTGGACTGTTTTTAGTCCCAGATCAGACCAGACTTGGTTAGTTATAAAATACGCATATATAGACCACACATTTACCAGATCATATCAGACCATACCAGACCTGACCAGAAAATTCCAATCCAAGTAAAAACTCCTAAGCTAATTTTGGTTGTTCTTACTTATGAATTTCCTAGGGATCCAAAAGGTCTGTGTCCTCAAAGTGAAGGTTGAAGATAATTTTTGAATGCTCAATTTTTTGTATGGTATGGTATACAAACTCTATAATTTGTAGCTTATGTAAAGAAATAATAGTTTACAAATTCCCCTTAAAGTTTCGTCAGCATAAAAAATATAAAAGTTCATTCAACATCTCTAATATGTTCAATTTTTTTGGTCTCTATGCTCATATCAGTATAACATAAAGAAGCTAGAATTCATCCTGAGGCTGCCATCTCTACGACAACTAGAACCCATCCAGAGGCAGCTGAGATTCATCCCACGGAATAAGCCCCCAGCCTTGCGATGACATGTTTTCCGAAGGGCTTTGTCTCCCAAGTGTCAATGATTTTGGCTTGGAATTGAAGCGGCGGGATCGCACCTTCAGATCTGCGACTATAGCAATACCTCTGGTCACGATCTAGAGACTTCAACCAGCCACCACGTATATGGCGGACAACCTAAGGGATGAGTCATGTTCGTGAGCGGCGCATGACAATACATCGAAACAGTGTGTCGATTGGAGATGGAATGCTGGAAGAGGTCCAAAAATACCCGATTATACCATGCTCAATGTACAAATATTTATAGGATATAATTTTCTCAAATTATACAACATTCATATATTTTTATTTAGTTTAACAGTTTAACTTTTAAGATACTTAATTTGCTATTTGGTAAATGTCTAAAGGCTTGAGAAAAATCATATTTTAAAACTTTATATTGAGAGCAAGCTTAACAATGTAATTTATAATAGGGGAAGTTACTCTGGCCCCTTAAAATTATGTTATAATTAAGGAAAATTTGATTTTGCATCTCATGTTTTGGGTGATATTAGACTTTGCACTCGTTTTCAAAATCATTAGTGTATGCATCCCATCATTCAAAAAATGTGAAGGAGTGGGGACATATATTAATGATTAGGGTGCATATATTAATGATTTTAAAATTATGACGCAAAGTCAAATATTATCCAAAATATGGGATGCAAGTCAAATTCACACTTATAATTACTAGCGCAAATTTGCATGTCCAAAATTGAATTACTACCCCTCAATTTTGATCATTCTCACGATTTATACAAATATCAAATTCAATGAAGACTGTCTTTACTCATTTTCATAGTTATAACTTATAGGAGTTATAGGTACAATTGCCTATCATTTTTCTTCTTCGTAGCTACTCATAGAACAAATATTAATGAGAGTAGCAGATGAAGCAAAGGAATCACCATTAATACTCAGAAGTTACATTAAAGAAGAATGTGTAAAATATGAGTTTTAAAAATTCCAGATATTTATGAATATAAAGTCTTAATTTGTAATTCATCCAATTTAACTAATTTTAAATCCAAAACCATTTTTAATTTAAAGTACAGTTGTTATCCCTACAGATCCTACTTGCTTTAATGAGGCTAATAAACACTTGAAATGAAGGGAAACTATGGCTGATGAATTTAATTCTCTCATTAATAATAATACTTGGGATCTGGTGCCCTTTGACAACTCTAAGAATATTGTTGGTTGTACGTAAGTGGATTTTTAAAACATAATATCACTCCGATGGGCCAGTAGAACGCCATAAGGCTCGATTAGTTGCTCAGGGATTTAATCAACATGTCGGTATTGATTTTTCTGAAACATTTAGTCCTGTTATTAAACCCACCACAATTCATATTGTTCTTACCCTTGCAATTTCTTTTGGTTGGGTTATACGTCAGCTTGATGTTTAAAATGTCTTTTTGCATGCTCATCTTACAGAGGAAGTCTATATGCGTCGACCGTGTGGTTTCATTCATCCACAATTTCCCCATCATATGTGTCATTTGCGTAAGGCCATTTATGGTGTTAAGCAAACACCACAAACATGGTTTCATAGGTTTAGTAGTTTTCTACTGCAGCATAATTTTTGTTGTAGCAAGTCTGATAATTCATTGTTCATTTATCGCCAGAATAATTCTATCATTTATTTATGATTATATGTAAATGATATTTTATTACTGGTAATTCTGAGTTTACTATTACCCAGTTTATCACTCTTATTTCTAATCATTTCGCCATGAAGGATCTCGGAAATTTACATTATTTCTTGGGCATTGAGGCAACCCGCTCCTCTAAAGGTTTCTTTCTTTCTCAAAATAAGTATGTTTCTGATTTACTCACCCGATTTCATCTCCATACAGTGAAGTCCGTTCGCACCCCGCTAGCGCAACGTCTCGTACTACTCTCTCTCTCTCTCTCATGGTGAGTTACTCTCGGATTCCACTAAGTATCGCAGCATGGTAGGTGCATTACAATATTTAACTTTGACACAGCCTGATATTACTTATGCAATACATTTAGTGTCTCAGTTCATGCATGCCCCTCATACTACCCATCTACTAGCAGTCAAAAGATTTTTCAGGTACTTACAAGGGACATGTGATCATGGGTTATGGCTTCAGAACTCTGAGAGACCCACATGTGTTTTAGCATATTCAGACGCAGATTGGGCTAGATGTCCCGATTGCTCTCGGTATCGCAATGTTTTGCAGTGTTTTTGGGTCCTAATCTCATATCTTGGAAGTCTAAGAAGCAACCTACACTGTCCAAATCCTCTACATAAGCCGAATATCGTGTTATTGCCTACACGGCTCAGGATACCTTACACATTAGATCTGTTTTATCCGAGCCCGACTTCCCCATTAAAGTACCTGTGCATTTATTGTGTGATAATATTTCAGCTTCATATTTGACTGCTAATCCTATCCAGCATGCCGAGAGTAAACACATACAGATTGACTCTCATTTTGTTCGCGAGCGTGTTGCTCATGGAGATCTGATTGTTCAACATGTTCCTACTCACTTACAGTTGGAAAATATTTTTACTAAGAGTCTTCCTAGTCAGTGTTTTCTTTTTTTAAAGGACAACCTGCGCGTTGTATCTGTATCTCCCGCACAGATTGAGGGATGTAATAGAATAGAGATAGTTATGTATTTTACATTAAACTCTTTCCCTATATATATATATATATATATATATATATATATATATATATATATATATATATATATATATATATATATATCTTTCAAGGCTCCTTAGAGAGCATCATATTCCATTCTCTCACAATATCTTACACGAGTCGAATGGAAGAAATATCGAGAAACTAGAATGACTATAAATTAAAAAATTCACGAAGTTAAATGTGATTAGTGTTGATGGAAAGATAAACGATAAGATTAATCAAAACTCAGGTTATATACTACGTAATTGACATTTAAAAAATAAAAAATTGAACTACTGATCCTCATAATTTTAATTTTCCATTTATAATATGATTATTTAAGAAATTACTTCATGTATTAAATAAAATGCCATCGAAGTAGTAAAAACTCCAAGCTCATAAACGATCACCATTGAGTAGTGGTTATTAAAAATAATCACTACAATATTACCAAAATATATAATACAAAAATGAGACTAGTAATTTTAGTGACTAATCAAGAGCAGAATCATAACAAAATTTGAGAGGGGTTTATAAAATCAATTCGCCGGGTTGGAAAGATCTATAATCTCTATCGTATTTCTTTTTGAAATATTTAGTATAATTCGATCTCAAATCCAATACGAAAAATTATTCCAATTTTCATGAATTGACACTTTATTTGGACCTATATATATTGGGAGATATTTTGCATATATATTATTTAAGGATAGTTTTTTATTATGGTTGGAATATTTTCTACATTTAATGTTTGTTATTTCTAGCCATGTAATACGGATGACCGACTCAATTAGATTGGCATCCACTCTTGTATTTAAACAAGGCCGATTGGCTCTCAAAACAATGAAGCAATATTACTCTTAAACTCTTCTTCCTAATTTCCCTAACCTGCGTATTACACGAAGTTAATATGGTATCAGAGCAGCTGCGTTAATCGATCGATATTTGTCGATCATTCGCAGGGATGCCGACGGAAGAAGAAGGATCTGCGCCCACACCAAAATTCGACTATACCTCCCCATTTTTCTTGGGACCCCAGGATCGACCGGGTGATTTCATCACTCCGGTTCGTCTCACACAAAATAATTACGAGGAATGGTCGAACGCTGTGCGATTGGCTCTACGAGCTCGACAGAAATACGTTTTCGTCGATGGAACAATTAAAGCACCAGTACCTCCTTGCACCGAGGACGATTGGCTTACGCTTCACTCTATGATCATCTCTTGGCTGTTAAACGTGATATCTCCGGACGTTAAACAGACCCTTTCGCACTACGAGGATCCTCGGCGACTGTGGAACGATTTGAAGGAGAGGTTTGCGTTGGTTGATGGCCCGAAAATACATCAAGTCAAAACTGACTTGGCTAAATGCGTTCAAACGAGAGGCATGGCTGTCGGGACTTATTATGCCAAATTACAAAATTTGTGGGATGAATTAAACAACTATGAACCATTGATTAGGTGTAAATGTGGCAAATGCACGTGTGATGTGCTCGGCCAACACGAGGAGAGAAGGGAATCCGAACATTTGCACCAATTTTTGATGGGGATTTATTCTGATTTTTTTGGCAGCACACGGTCCCAGTTGTTGACACAACCTGATCTGCCGACCCTCAACCGTGCTTACCAACAAATGGTTCAAGAAGAACGTGTGCGGGGAATCGTACAGACACAGGAAGAAAAGCCAGAAGTGATGGGCTTCGCAGTTCGTACTGAAGGAAAAGGGGCTGGACGAGGAATTAAGCAGGATAAATCCGGATTGCAGTGTTCTTATTGTAAGTTTTCTGGACATGATGTAACTGCTTGCTTCGAGTTACACGGTTACCCGGACTGGTGGGGTGACCGACCCAGGCTTGGCATCAAAGGTGCAGGGCGTAGTCGTTCAAATACCTCAGGCCTTCCGAGCAATCCTGGAGTGTCTCGTGGCAGATCGACGGCAAAAGCACATGCTGCGGTTGCAGCTGAACCTGCGGGCAAAACACTGCAGCAAGGTGAAAGTAGTGGCGGGCAGTCCACTCCCCTGCCAGGTTTCACGCCGGAACAGTGGAGCTCCCTGGTTTCCTTGTTTGGTAACTCACTTCCTACTAATGATCGCATGGCCGGTACGTTTAATAATAGTGCTTGGATTATTGATACAGGTGCTACAAATCACGTTTGTGGTAATCAATCCTTATTATGCAATATTAAAACGGTTGATCCGTGTACTGTTGGCCTCCCCGATGGACAAACTGTTTTGGCCACCCTAGAAGGGAGCGTGCGATTTGCAAATGATTTATATTTAACTAATGTGCTCTTTGTTCCAAAGTTGCAATGTAATCTTGTATCTGTATCACAATTGTGTGATACACTTGATTGTTTCGTCCAATTCACTAGTAATTTGTGCGTTATACAGGACCGTCCCTCGAGGAGGCTGATTGGAACGGGTGAACGGCGGAATGGACTGTACTACTTGAGGGAGGAACCGATGGCACAAGTTCTAGCAGTCAACGAATCAAAGAATGTGGAAGCAGAATTGTGGCATCAACGGTTGGGACATGCATCTTCTCAAGTAGTTGAAAAAGTGGCCCCCGTAAGTGGTTTGAAGAATTTTGGAAATTTTCCGTGTGATATTTGTTTTAGAGCTAAACAGACTAGGGACCCCTTTCCTACTAGTTTGAATAATACTCGTGATATTTTTGAGATGGTGCATTGTGATTTGTGGGGTCCATATAAAACCCCGTCTTCGTGTGGTGCTAGACATTTTTTGACAATTGTTGACGATTATTCCCGTGCTGTTTGGGTTTATCTGCTCATTGATAAAAAGGAAGTTTTGAAAATGTTTCTCTCTTTTGTTGCTATGGTGGATCGCCAATTTTCTAAGAAAATTATGCGTGTGAGAAGTGACAATGGGACCGAATTTAATTGTTTAAAAGAATTCTTCCGCACTAGTGGTATTATTTTTCAGACTTCTTGCGTTGGCACACCTCAACAAAATGGACGTGTTGAACGTAAGCATCGACATATTTTGAATGTGGCTCGCGCATTGCGGTTTCAAGGAAAATTGCCTATCTCTTTTTGGGGGGAGTGTGTATTGACCGCCGCATATATTATTAATCGCACTCCTTCTGCGATCTGTGCTTATAAAACTCCTTACGAATTGTTGTTTGGAGCTTCCCCGTGTTATAAATCGCTCCGAGTTTTTGGATGTTTGTGTTATGCTTTTAATCTTAAGTCCAAAAGAGACAAATTTATTAGTCGGAGCCGAAAATGTGTGTTTGTTGGTTATGTCTTTGGAAAGAAAGGGTGGCTTGTATTTGATCTAGAGACTCAAGAATATTTTGTGTCTCGTGATGTCAAATTCTTTGAACAAATATTTCCGTTTGCATCTGCCTCAGTTGTTGAGGATGTCCCTCACTTGCCGACGGAGCCCCAGCCGCCCGATTTGCCTATGGATTACACCGATCCATTCTCCTTTGGATTTCCTACACTCGATGTAATTTCCCCATCAACTCAGGAGAATAAAACGCCACAGTTAGCTGGACCTACTAATGATGACTCCAGTACCACGATGGACGCACAGATTATTTCCCAGCAGCAGTCAGATGTTATCTTGGGACGTGGTCAACGTACACGCACCCCTCGGTTCGCCTCAGAGACTATGTCACGCACACCATCATTAAACACAGTCCATTCCCCACTCTTCCCGCTTCGTCATCCTCTTCAGGTACGCCGTTCCCTATATCTCACTATATTACTTGTGATTCATTTTCTTCGAAACATCAAGCTTACTTGGCAGCTCTTAATTCCGTTACGGAGCCATGCTCCTTTAATGATGCTGTTAAACATGATGGATGGCGTGATGCTATGCGTGCCGAGATTCAAGCTCTTGAAAATAATTCCACCTGGAGTCTTGTTCCTTTGCCTCCCGGCAAACGTGCATTGGGTTGTCGGTGGGTTTATAAAGTGAAACACAAATCTGACGGCACAGTTGAGCGTCTCAAAGCTCGCCTTGTTATTTTTGGGAATAGGCATGTTGCTGGCCTTGATTATACAGAAACATTTGCTCCTGTTGCTAAAATGGTGACTGTGCGCGCTTTCCTGGCTATAGCCGCTACTAAACATTGGGAACTACATCAAATGGATGTTCACAATGCTTTTCTACATGGCGACTTACATGAGGAGGTCTATATGACTATTCCCCCAGGCTACAAAACTGCTGATTCCGGACTGGTCTGTCGTCTTCATAAATCCTTATATGGCCTCAAACAGGCTCCGCGATGTTGGTTCGCGAAATTGGTAACGGCTCTCAAGAGTTATGGTTTTCTTCAGTCTTATGCGGATTATTCCTTATTTACTCTTACTCGGGGGGCGGTTCAGCTTAATGTTCTTGTTTATGTGGACGATCTTCTTATCTCTGGCAATGATGGTGTTGCTATTACTACTTTCAAATCACATCTTAATGATTGTTTTCACATGAAGGATTTGGGCCCTCTCAAGTATTTCTTGGGCATCGAAGTGGCTCGTAGCTCGACTGGAATTTTTCTTAACCAGCGAAAATACGCCCTGGACATTATCACTGAAACAGGTCTTCTGGGAGCAAAACCTGCTTCTTTTCCCATCGAGCAGCATCATTCCTTGGCCACCGCTACTGGTCCACCTCTTGAGGATCCTGAACAGTATCGTCGTCTTGTTGGACGACTTATTTACTTGGCTGTCACTCGTCCTGACATCACCTACTCAGTACACATTCTCTCTCAATTCATGCAACAACCCCTCACTGACCATTGGCATGCTGCCTTGCGAGTTGTTCGCTATCTGAAAGGTTCGCCTGGCCAAGGGATTCTTCTTCGTGCTGATAGTGATCTTTCTCTTACTGGTTGGTGTGATTCTGATTGGGCAGCTTGCCCTACTACCCGTAGATCACTCTCTGGCTGGCTTGTTTTTCTTGGTCACTCACCCATCTCCTGGAAAACCAAGAAACAATCCACTGTTGCTCGTTCTTCCGCTGAAGCTGAATACCGCTCTATGGCCGCAGCCACTTGTGAATTAAAATGGCTAAAAGCTCTTCTTCTGAGTCTTGGAGTTCAACACCCTCAGGCTATTCCTCTCTATTGTGATAGTCAATCTGCTCTTCACATAGCTCAAAATCCTGTGTTTCACGAGCGTACCAAACATATCGAGGTTGACTGTCACTTTGTTCGTGATGCTGTTCAAGCCGAGATCATTGCTCCCAATTACGTTCCTACTACCATTCAACTGGCAGATATATTTACTAAAGCTCTTGGCAAGACTCAGTTTCAGACTCTCCTACACAAGTTGGGCATTCTGAATCCCCATGCTCCAACTTGAGGGGGGGTATTGGGAGATATTTTGCATATATATTATTTAAGGATAGTTTTTTATTATGGTTGGAATATTTTCTACATTTAATGTTTGTTATTTCTAGCCATGTAATACGGATGACCGACTCAATTAGATTGGCATCCACTCTTGTATTTAAACAAGGCCGATTGGCTCTCAAAACAATGAAGCAATATTACTCTTAAACTCTTCTTCCTAATTTCCCTAACCTGCGTATTACACGAAGTTAATAATATACTCCGTATAATACACACAAGCGCACACATACACATACATATCAACTTAAATATGGACATTTATTCATTTTTATACTTGTTTTGTTATTGCCTAAACAAAATAATAGACTTCTCTTACCAAGCGAGTTTATTTTGATTTGGGATGTTTTCACTTGGACTGTTTCCAGCCTCAGATTAGACCAGACCAGACCAGACTAGATCAAATGAAATTAGACCATATTAGACTAGACTTGAATAGTTATAAAATACATAGAGACCATACCAGTTCAGACCAGACAGACCAAACCAGACCAGATCAGCAAATTTAAGTCCAAGTAAAAACATTGTTAATACATTTGTCATTTTATTTTGAAACATAATTGTTTAAGTAGCAATATAGCTAAATAAATGCAGGAAGACAAATTAATAACTTATATATAAAACTCTCAAAAAAAAAAATAACTTATATATAAACTACTAACTTGTCAAGAAAATAATAGGGAGTAATATAGTTTTTCTCTTTCAAATCAACGTTAATTTAGGTCGTTAAAAAAATCAACGTTAATTTAGGTTATTTGTTTTTTCAAATGATACTTGTTTTTTTAAGAAAATGTATTACATAAATTTAATTATAACAATATATAAAGTCTGATATTTGAAATTTTAACCAGAAATTTTGGCTATTTGCACTAAACCAAAAAATAAATAAATAGTTATGTTAAAATTCAAGTCGTTTTAAAAACATTCTTGATAAATTGCTTGTACAATGATAAAAGTCAATTTTTGGAGACGGAAGAAATGGTTAAAGGTCATTTTTATTGTCATTGTACTAAACAGAAAATGTAAATAACATGTCAATATTCGAAAAAGTAAAAAAGATAAGGGAAGATAAATATTATATAAGCTAATCGAAAAAGCGGACGGGTCTAGCATTCATCGGCTAGGGCGAGTTTTGGGGGGATCGGCACCCCCGTGTCCCAGCGGTACGGAATCGGAGGTTGTGCGACCCGACATGTTGGAGTAGTACAAGACAGTATAGCAACAAGCAGGGGTGGACTGCGATTCTGCGATCGTTCGAGATAGGCGGTGCGAGGATCTGGGTCGTGAGCATTCGATCATGATTGAGTCTCGATTCTGGGGGGCAAGGGTCTGGCCTGAGTTTAATTTGCGATTGCTTGGGGAAGGACCTGGTTCGCGTTTTGATTTGAGATTGTTTGAGGCGAGGCTCTGCTTTGCGATTGATTTGCGTCCGATTGGGCTTCAGTCAACGGAGTTCAGTGGTTTCGAAGGCAACCGCGGATCTGTGTCGACTAGGGTTTCGAGATCTAAGTTTCTGGTGCTTGTGTTGGCCATTTTGGCTTTGGTAGTGACTGAGGTGGGAGTTGTACCAGTTGTGTTTGATCCGGGTGGAATGCTCGCAGTATGGATCCCGATTAAAGAGGGTGATTTTGGCCGTCTAAGGTGGAGGAGGAAGTAAATGGTTTGTGGATGATTCGTCCCCCTCCTGAATCGCCGCCACAGAGGAATTGCGTGGCTAGAGTTTGGAAGACACACTTGAATAATGGATTTCGCGGTTCCACTAGCCGAAGTTTATTTATTTTTGCTACGTTCTGTTTGCTAATCTTTATTTTATTTTTATTAGGTCAAATAACAAGGGTGGTAGATTTTTAGATTGGTTTATCTTAGTTGCTAGATTTTTGTTGAGAGGCAATCAGGCTGTCGCAGCCGCTGATAGCCTCAAAGGTCTCACATTTTCGACGATTAACCTCGCTCTTTTTTGGGTGAACTACTCTATGTCTGATAAAGAAGTGAGGGGGCCGATGGGCTTATGATTATGCTTGTAAAGAGGGAGGGTAGGGTCGGATGGTTACTTTATTGTTTGCAATTTTCCTGGTTGTACTGCGAGTTTTGATTTAATATAGGGAAAAGTAATTAAAATACCCCAAACTTTGAAGGAGAGCGAGATAAACACTCCAAACTTGCATATGTAACTTAAATACCCCAAACTTTATATAAAAAGTTATTTTAACATCATGGTCATGTATTTTTCCTAGGGGTGGGCAAAAATACCGAACCGCCATGGTACTGAACCGGACCGGTATGGTACCGGACCGATAAACGGGGTTTGAAACGGATCTCATTTTTTTTGTCCCGAACCGAACCGTACCGGTTCCAAACAATGCCATGACGGGTTCTCATAAAATGAGAACCGGTACCGGACCGAAACGTACCGAAGTATGGTTTAATACTTTAATTATTTAAATTTCTATTACTATAGTTTATCTCAAATTTATTAATTACCTCATACGTCCCAAATTGATTTGCAAAGTCAACATTTTTTGGTCAATGTTAATGTGAAGTCCTACCTAATGATAACTAATACAATTATTGATAATTAAAATTTTTCATATTAAGAAACCACATTAAAATCTCTTTAAAGTTGCAGAATCCAAATTAGAATATACGAAGTACTTTATTTGAAAGGCCAAATTAGAATATAATTAAAAACTGAAATCCTAATTAAGTTAATAAAAATGAACTATTTGACCAAAAAGGTTGACTTTGCAAATCAATTTGGAACGGAGATAGTATGAAATACGAAAAATGATAAATTGTGTAGATTTTTTGAGGTTGCTAAACTTTAATTTTTCCTTAAACACTTGGGAAAAATGGCATTGTTTGACATTGGTATGGCATGGTACCATCCCGTTTGAAAATGGACCATACCGAACGGGTTTAGGTCTAAGACAGAACCGAACCGTTTCAATAGTAATGATACGGGTACGGGTTCAGCAAAATATTGGACCGTACCGGACCGGACCGTGCCCACCCCTAATTTTTCCTTCAAAAATGTTAATTTCATAATTTAAAATATTTTACCTAGCATTCATGAAGATACAATTAGCATTCTAAACTTCTATTGTAAAATAAATAGTATTACCCCACGCATGACCCACCCCACCCTATATAATTGCAACATTTTCGGTTTGCTATTTTAAATTATGCAATCAACACCCTAAATTTGCATTTTAAAAATAAATAATACATGACCATAATGTTAAATTAACTTTTTATAAAAAGTTTGAGGTATATAAATTACCTACGAAAGTTTGGGGTGTTTATCTCACTCGTTTTCAAAATTTGGGGTATTTTAATTATTTTTCTCTTTAATATAATATGCCAGTTTACAGTCAAAAAAAGGGAAGAAAAATATTTTGAATTGGAAAAAATAAAAATGTAAAATAAAAGTAAAAGAAATCAGGGGTGATAGGAGGGAAATAGGTACCAAAAGTGTGCGCCAATCCTATTATTAAGAGAAATGAGTTTATACGGTTGATATTAAAATGATAAAATAAGAATAAAATAAGAGTGATTTAAAATCAGATAAATTTTATCAAATTTAACACGAGATAATATTAATTCATTTTGAGAAAAGGAAAATAAAAAATGGGAAGGAAGGAGTACTAATTGTGGCTCGGCCTGCAAAATACAATCAGGAGGACTGGACATCCATATTTTCGGTTTCATGTTTGGTTCCACCTTTCAGTAGCGAACTTCTGATATAAATTCGACTGGGCCGTAGTTATCTGCGAAAACCACAGGTTAACTCTTCATCGCTTCTCGTGTTCTGAATTTTACAAAGTAATGAAATTGTGAAAGTGAATTATCTAGGAAAGAAGTGTTAAAAGCCATCTTTTTGTTTTGTAGAGCATTGAAACTTAGGAGAGTATATTATTGGGCATTGGTTATGTGAAATTAAATCTGCTAAGAAGTTATGCTATAATCAAGAAATTGTATTTTTTTGTTCTATTTTGGTTTATGAGAACCTGAAAGATTGTACTGATACGTCCTAAATGACAGAATGGAAGGGCTTCTGGTGGAAAAGCATGTCAAGTACATCTTATCAGTTGAAAAGGTTTGAGTTGTTTCTGTTATCTACTACTTATCTTGTGATTTTTTCTGGAAACCACAAAAGTAAGAGTTAACTTTAGCAACGCTATTTCCTTTTATTAATTCACACACTGTAGAAATGGTTTCACTTTATCATTCTAAAGATTAAATTTCCCAATACGGAGTATGAAATAGTGAAACTTGAATGAGATTATGGCAATGCAAAGCGGGTCTTTACGTGAGTCTGTTTGTCTTACCTTCAGAGTAAAGATGACATTGAGTCTGTGGTGATGGAGCATCTTAGATTAAATGGAGCATACTGGGGATTGACGACTCTTGATATTCTAGGGATGATTAGTGTAGTGGATCAAGGCGAGGTCATATCTTGGGTTATGCAGTGTCAACACGAATCTGGTTTGTGTTATAGTACTAAGTTATTCTCTGTAGTTTTTGCACTCTATCTTTTTCTCCCTGCTAGTATAATATCTTTTTTATCTGATTATCTCCCTTTTGGAGAAGGTTCTAGTTGAGTTGGACATCATTGCAAATAGTTTGTGTATTTAACCTGGAGTCATGGATTGAGTTGTAAAAGCTACCATTGTGCTACAATTGTGATTAACTTGTTCCATAATGTCATCTCTTTACCCTTTCTAGGTTCCACTTCTGGATGCTAAATAGAGTAGAGAGGCTCCAGAAAGTTTAAAAAAGAAATAAAAAAGACAGTAAAAGAGTTGAAGATAAACCGTCAATGATCCCTGAATGCACTCTCCAGCAAGATATTCTTTCCCCAACAAAGCTGCTAAATACCATCAAATTATTGACTGCCTCTTTTTCTCTAGAAGAGGGTTTATTTATTGCCTACTGCAGCCTATAACTAAGGTTAGAAATGAATTGCATATCAGTCAAGATGCTAGTCAATCAACATTGATTTTACCCTAATCAATGATCCACTTTTCTTGGTAATTGGTTCCCTAAACTCTAAGCAGAGAATCAGGCTTCTAATTAGTGTCTTTGTTTTACTTTCCTAAATTTTTTTGCTATCATTGATTCATTGCCACACCAGAAAAGAGCCTGCTCCACAAAGCTGAAGGAAGAGTCCAAGAGATCAACTTGTGTGATCTTACACTCTTACCCCTTCAATAAATTATTATATCTTGAAGTAGGTTAGCTTTGTATTTCTTTTCTGATCTTGTGCATTTTGAACCCCAAGCAATGTTCCATCTCTATGTTTTTGGGCTATCTTTATTTTAATTGGAACGAGGTGAAATTTTGTTTTATCCCTTTCCCATGAACACTTGATTTTTTTCTCTTTCTTCGTCGCCATTATCCTTCTATGCTATTTTTATCCTTCTCTGAATTACCTATATCAGTTTGATGTGTTTTTCTTTTTCCTTATTTTTTCAAGCTACATGACATTATGTTTGCCATGTGAGGACAGTTGTACAGTTGAATACCCAAGCCCCAGCATTATTGTAGTCAGAAGAGGTTTGGTGCTTTCCCATCACCACCTCTCGTAGCCAGATTGGTTGGCCGAGAAGTGGTGAGATAGGTATCGGTTGCATGATGGTTGGTGGTGACATTTGTAACAAACTGTGGGTTGTCTTGGGGTTGAGAAAATTGTCAGGTTAGTTGTGGTATATTTTGGGTTGCCATAGCAACTCTATTTCAAATCATGTCATGTGACTAAGTGATACTGTTGGCCGTCACGCGCCTACCACAGGATTGATTCATGTTAGCCGACCCCAAAATCTTTTGGGAATAAGGCTTGGATGTTGTTGTTTGTTGTTGTATAGCAACTCTATTTTCTTTTGTTGGGCTTGTGGTAGGTTATGGACATGTTAGGTTCCATTTTGAGGTTTTTTGTGCCCATTTGGTGATTAACTGGTAGTTGTTTGTTGGGGTGTTGATACATTTTTGTTGAATTTGTTCCAGAGCTCCCTTTTTAATGTTGCCAGTTGATGAAGGGTTGGCGGTGTTGGCATCCATTGGTCCAATGTAGCACCTGACCTTTAATGTGCCGAAAAGATATAATGAACTATGATCCGCTAATATATTTAAGGAAAACATATCGCTCAGCCTTGGCAAATGGCAATCACCCAATGGAGTCATTCCTATTGATATATGGGACTTCAATCAATGTGGTGGTGAACTACAAATCTTCCCCATGAGTTTGGAGTGCAACCACCAACCTTTCTGTGAATGGTCGTGCACCTCTTCAAGCTTTATCAAAGCTTCTTTTAGGCGATTAAATGTATGAGACATGTTTTGCTAATGCCTCTAGCCGCTCCTCCCTAATATAGTTTATCACAGCAACGAACAGGGAAGGTGTTGTGAACAGAAAAATAAAATCAACGTGGTAAACCGTTGCCCAGATAATCAACGATAAAAATACCGTTGCCCAGAGCCAAAAGGCTAAAATCAATTTTATTCCAAGATGAACAAGAATAAATCCTAACAAGGGGTTTAAATACCCATCTGCTAATTCTCAAACTAGGAAACAAAATCCTAGAAGTCCTAATCAACTCCAACTAGGAAACAGAATAATAAAGATCCTAATCAACTTCAAATAGGAAATAAATAATAGAAATCCTAATTAACTCCTAATAGGAAACACATATTAGAAATCCTAATTAACTCCAAATAGGAAACAAATCAGGAAAATTAAAAAGAATAAATATTAATTAAGCAGCCCGCAACCAACCCACGAAGGTGGGCTCAAGCCCGTCCCACCTTTAGTAAACCCATGGGGGCTTCTGCCCCTCTTCTTCTGAGCCCGAGCCCAGATTCTGCTTCATATCAGAAGGGCAGTAAAATAAGTATACTAATTAGAAGCCTAGCAGGAAATGTAAGTCTATCATTAGAGCCTAGGGAACCTATTAGCAAGAAAGATTGATCTTTGATGAGAGTAAATCAAGGTTTATCTGTTAGCATCTTGATTGATATGTTTCATTTCATTTCATTTTCATTTATCCCAGTGCCGCAAAGGCTCCCACCTATGGTTGGATAAGGGAGGTCGGATGTACGCAGTCTTACCCCTGTACTAAAGCACAGAGAGACTGTTTCCGGATGACCCATAGTGAAAATCGCGTCCAAAATCGCATGGACTGACTGCTGCTTGATTGATATGAAATACTGGGTTATTTACTCGGTGAGTACTCAGCGAGTACTCGGTGAGTACTCCCTACTCGGCCCATGACCTTGCAGAGTAGCACATTACTCGGCCCGAGTTATTATTCCGAGTTACTCGCCGAGTACTCGGCGAGTTAGCCAACTCGGTCAGTGGGTCAAAAAGGCGATTTACTCGGGAGTACTCGGTATTAAAAAAAAACATTACCTCCGCTTGGAAAAAAAATTAAATTGAGATTATCCTCTGTGTTGTTTCTTATTCTCCCTCATGTTGCCTATTATATTCTTCTCTGTATACTGTAATAAACTCTAAGAATTTTGGATTGTTCTTCGTTTGCTTTTGGTTCTTAAACCGGTGTTTTCATTGTACATTTTCAAGTCTTTGGCCGACTAAAGTGAATGTATTGAATGACCCCTGAGACCTGAGTTGCTGAATGCTGAAATGAAATCTCTTAATTGAAAAGGTGAAAAATATAGCTTAGCAAAAAAGCATCATGTTTGGTTTTGGGTGAGCTGCAATTTTCATTTAGGGAACTACCTTTGAGGACTCGTTGTTCGGTAGGTGCCACTTTGAAGTTACTTTGAAGTTCTTCAATTGGAATAAGAATAGGTGCCAAAAAACTGCAGAAAATATTTGCCTTTTCTTCCACTGCTCGTGCTTCTTGAAGTTGTATTCTGGTATTGTATACATATTATATGCATTTTAAGACAATTTCTATCCTTTTATTCACTTCTAAACATTTTAAGACAATTTAAAGACAATTTTATTACTATATTTTAAGACTACTATATTTAAATATATTTTTTATATTTAATTAATACTAGGCCGAGTAATCACCGAGTAATCCCGAGTAATCGGTCCTACTCGCTACTCGGCCCTTGACCGAGTAGCTACCGAGTAGCGAGTAAACTACCTAGATGAAATATATTTCTTACCTTAACTATTGGAATCATTAGATTATATAGTATATACAAGCTCTCTGTTAGAGAAGCGAGGCATGCTGTAGCTTTAAGATACTTAGCAGCTTTGCCGAGTCAATAACATCTTGCTAGAGAGTGCCTTTGGGGGTTTCGGAGGGGTTTGTTGAACTCTTTTACTGTCTTTTTATTTCTTTCTATTTAATAAAAACTTCATTCTCTGGAGCCTCTTTTGTCTATCAATGCGTTAAGGCTTAAAGGGATTCCTTTTCATTGGATCCAACACTCATTGGATCTAATAAATGTTACGTATGCCATTATATAATGTATACTACTATTAAATCGCCATAATGCCTAGCATCTAGCTGCATTAATCTTGAATTTGCTGTTAAACTTATAAGATGTCGTGTTTACCTATGCAGGTGGGTTTAGCGGCAACATTGGACACGACCCACATATAATGTATACCCTTAGTGCCATCCAAGTTTTAGCATTGTTTGATAAAATTGATGTTCTTGACATCGACAAGATCTCTAATTGTATCCTTCAACATGGATTCTTGAATCTGTAATTGTCTCTAGTTTCATTCAATACATACATACTCGTTCCCCACTTTATCTGTTGGGATATTTTGCAGTTTATACACTACTTCTAGCGTACACTCTTCTATATACTGATCTGACTTTTCTAGAAAAAAACATATCTCATCCAAAGTAAAGTACATATGTTGTAAATTGAATTGATGAGTGATTTGCTGTTGAAGTATAGAGTTGTTGAGCTTGACCAACCTGGCAGATATTGTAGGCCTGCAAAATGAAGATGGGTCCTTTTCGGGTGACATGTGGGGTGAAGTTGATACACGGTAATCATCTCCACTTTCAGACTTTCTTCGGAATGGTTTGTCTTACATTTATATTACCATTAAGACAATAGAATGACCAATACAATTGTTTCTTTAGGTTCTCTTACATAGCAATAAGTTCTCTTGCACTATTGCGACAGTTGGATAAAATCGACATGGAAAAAGCTGTTCAGTACATTTTAAGTTGCAAGAATGTGGATGGTGGGTTTGGATGCACGCCTGGGGCAGAGTCTCATGCTGGGCAGAGTATGTTAGTTTGTATAAAATATTCTAAATGTTTATGATACGAGCCTATATTATTATATCCAGTTTTACTAATAGTATTAGTAATTAGAGGAATGATCCTGTCAAGCCGTCTTGACAGAAATTGCCGTCCGGCTGCCTCTATTTGAGGTGCTTCCGGGTGGAATTTTTTGATGAAATTCTGTGAGTGTCTTCTTCATGAAGTATAGATAATGCCCACCAATTTGCACCTTAAAATTCAATCGGGAAGGCATTCAAATCATTTTTTGAAGTTGACTTCGTTTTTATATGTATATTTTGACGAAGTCAACTTCAAAAAAAGATTTGAATGCCTTCCCGATCGAATTTTGAGCTGAAATTTGGTATGGAGAAACTAGACTTGATGAGGAACATGCTAAAAAAATTCATCAAAAAATTCCACCGGGAAGTGCCCCAAACGTCCATGTTCGGACGGTGCTCGGACGGGGGATGTTCGGACCTGAACATCTCTCTCTCTCTCTCTCTCTCTATATATATATATATATATATATATATATATATATATATATATATAATTTATATATATATTTCGGCGCAGTGTTTTTCAATAATTTATTTAACCGACTTCCGATAGAATTTTAAGGTGAAATTTGATAGACATAATCTACACTTCATGAATAATATGTTCACAAGATTTCATCAACAAATTTCACCCGGGAGCACCTCAAATGGAGGCGGACGGATGGCGGTTCCTGTCAGGCCGGCCTGAGTCCTGACAGGATCATTCCTCTTAGTAATTATATTATGATTATTTTTATTGTCATTATTATGATGATTGGTTTCCTATTTAGTATTATTAGTTTTTGTATTGATAATTATATTTTAGTTAGCATTCTTAATATGATACGGAGTATTATCAACACTTTTAATACTCTAGGACTTTGTTTACTTTCTCACCAAGATAATATCATATAATTATAAGACTCTGAGAAGCTCTAGTAGTTCTCAATCTTCATAGCTTCCATTCTTGATCTTCTTCATCTCCTGATCACACCTGTAATATAGAATAATGAAAGATTAAAAGCAGAGAAGTAAACTTTTAATTTGTTATAAATCTTGTATTCTACAATTTCTATGTAATGTTGAGTTGTTTACTATATTGGTGGGTGAAGCCTTCTTCTTATCTTAGAGTCAAGACTGAGTTTTTTAAAGAAGGGTTTCTTTATATTTATATGTTACGTTGTATATAAGATCACATACAAGGAGTCTTTCAATGGGATTTCTATCTAACTGTATTCAAGCTTGTGTCGTTTGTACATGTCTTAAATCTTAATCATAGAATCACCTGATATGGTTGCAATGCCTTTTACCATATGTGTACTGTGAATTGTGATAATTTTAATACTGTTGCAGTTTTCTGCTGTGTGGGAGCTCTTGCAATAACAGGCTCTTTACATCATGTTGACAAAGACCTCCTCGGCTGGTGGTTATGTGAACGACAAGTTAAATCCGGGGGTCTAAATGGGCGTCCAGAGAAGCTTCCTGATGTAGGTTTCTTGTTTTTGCTCTTTAATTGTGAACAAAAGGTGTTCGTTTGATGTTTAAATATGTGTATATGATATTTGCTTGGAATAATTGAACTCCAGGTTTGCTATTCTTGGTGGGTTCTTTCAAGCTTAATTATGATAGACAGGGTTGACTGGATTGACAAGGAGAAACTTGTAAAATTTATTTTGGACTGTCAGGTTAGTTCTCCCACGTCGCTTGGTTTGAATGTGAGAATAAAGAGGGAATAGTTTTTTTATAACTTCAACAGGGGATGGATATAGGAGTAAAGAAGAAATTCAAATTCTGCTAGTTGGTTGAAGGGAATGAAATTTAATGATTAAAGGGAATTCAACCTAACGTGCTATTATGTTCAATCTTATGGTATCTGTAGCCTTATATACTTCACGAATGTGCAGGATAGAGAAAATGGTGGGATTTCAGATAGGCCAGAAGATGCGGTGGATGTCTTCCATACATATTTTGGAGTTGCTGGTAAGTCTTTGCATCACTAATCCTCCCACCACTTCAAAATCTGGGCATCAAACTACATAATGCTACCCAATGCCTCTTGAACCGTTGAAGCGTTTTTGTGTGTGTGTAATAAGAATAAAGAAATGGTTATTCTATTCTTTAAAAACCACAAACTACTTATAAACTGTGATAAAATGGTCAGGTTTAATTTGCTGGTTGGAATAAATCTGAGTAGTAGCCAGGCCTTCTTTAATTGCATTGCAATTTTTACACTGCAGGGCTTTCTCTTTTGGAATATCCTGGACTCATACCTATAGATCCTGCTTATGCCTTGCCTGTTAATGTTGTAAACCGAATCATCTTTAAGAAGTAACCCTCTGGTCATGACTATTGCTGACAGTTCCATCCCATTTTCACAAAATTTAAGCCATGTATAGACCAAGCGTACATCAAGGTAGGTCAATGTTAAGATTGGCTTGAAGGGATTTGCTCTCATAGTGTTTTAGAATATCTGCATTTTGCTTTCATGTAAAAACTATGGTCTGTTTTAGCCAAAAATATCTGGCAAAAAAGAGTGGGAACTCTAACTTGCGAATGTGTTTTTCTCCTGAAACATGAGTTAATTACTTTTATGAAACAATGTCACAAATATAACTTCTCAGCTTCTGTCGGATAAAAATATGACCAGTTTTAAAAAATACCGAAAAGTGACCTGGCTTTTAACGTCACCTTCCGCTTTCAACTTACACTTTCACCTTCCTCTTCCGCCCACACTTCTGCACAGGCTCCAGAGCTCCAGGGCTGAATACTTCCGTCGTCATTGCATAAACAATCACCAACACCAACCTCTTCTTCTTCGCTGAAGTCGGTAGCTCCATCATCAAAAAACAATCTAGATCTGACTCCCTGTGCTTCAATCGATTGCTCCTCTTTTGCGGTGGCTAGGTTACAGACTCATGGTGGCTACGATTTGGGGTAGATGGGTGGTGAGGTCGCAATCGCTACAGTAGGGACGAAGTTTTTGCCGCTTTCGCCATTCTTCGTCGCCATAGCCAAATTGATTTGGATCTGATTCTTCATGTTCTTATCTTGCCATTCTTTTCGTTTTTGTGCAGAGATTTGGCTTGGGGTTAGGTCAGGTGGCTGGAAAGTCGAGGAGGGGGCTGGGGTGGTGCAGCAGCAGTGGGGAACTGACAGTGGTGTTGGGTTGTGGCAGTGTTGCAGGGGCTTGGGAGTTGTGGTGCAGGGGCTTGTGAGCGGTGGTGCAGGGGCTGAGGGACCTGTGAGCAGTGGTGTAGGGGCCGAGGGGCCTGTGAGCAGTGGTGCAGGGAGGAAATGGTGTGGCCGGAGGGGCTGATGTGGTAAATGTTGGCAGCAGAGGTCAACAGCGGCAGTAGCCAGGTGTGAGGCGGTTGAGTACGGGTGTGGGGGGTTGGGGAGGAGGCAGTTACGGTGGCATCGTGGTGGCAACCGATTTTGATTGAAATTTACACTTCCGGCGGGTAATATTGACATCGACGGCGGCACAGGCGTCACTGTGACAACGTCACTGCGGCTGCGTCACTGTGGTGGTGTCACTATGGCGGTGTCACTGTGGTTGGATGTGGTGACCGGTGGTGGCCGAGGCAGCGGCAGTGACACGAGCAGTGGCCGCAGTGACACGGGTGGATGTCACTGTAGCGTGTCACTGTAGCAGTGTGTATATAAACAAGCTTGTCACTTATTAGTCACATTTCACGAGTTTTTTAAAAAAGTCACTTTTTTGCCTATTGCCCTTTTATTAGTAATATTCAAGACAAAAACCCTACTTTTATTTTGTAATTATATTGCAATATTTATCATTATCAAGCATTAAATATTAATGTCATAATCGACAATATTTTCTAATATGACCATATTTACTTATATTTAGGGGAGAAGCAGTACTCTTCGGTTACATGTACTAATTTATTACTACGTTTATTATAATTAGAAAATAAAATAGGATTCGTTTTCGGCTGCCCCACCTTTGCTCAGTATATGTGTCACCAAAATAATGCGCCAACTTCCAACAAGTTTGAGAATGGAGAGATTGAAAATTTGAAATACATTCTAAATTTGATTTCTGAAAAATTAGTACCATCTAAATTTGAAATGGATACAAGTTGAGTCATAATTACTTATTACTTATTCTCCCAAATAATACTGGTACTCTTTTAAAGCAACATTTATTCCATTTATTACACGTGAATTATTCAACTCCAGTTCGTATACCGTGGGATCATCCCACGATGAGCATCACGCTCCCTGTCCAAAACGACGTAGTTTTGATCAATTAAAAAAAATCGCGTGAACAGTACCGTATGTACAGTAACTTGTTTTTTTCTTTTCATCTTAGTAACATAAATGGTGTAACTCGCGTGTAAAGAAATGTAATTCACGTCATTAATCAATGTAACTCAAGTGCAGTCGAAATGTAACTTGTCAAATACATAGTATAAGAAGTAAAACATTGATTTCAATGTAAATAATGAAAAAAAGACTCTAAAAAAATGTTACATTGATCAATAACTTGAATTACATTGCAGGGCCATAAAAATGTTTTTATAAAAAAAATCAATGAATATTGGGGGCTTATTGTGCTGTGTAACTCACATTATATTACGATGTAACTCGTATTATATAATATGTAAATCATGTGCAAGCAAAATGTAACTTGCTGAGGAAAATTGACATGTAACTCAAGCTAATGGATATGTAACTTGAGATAAATGGAAATGTAACTTGTTATAATAAAAATGTAACTTTTCCTACATAAATAAAAATGAAACAACAAAGAACTACTGACGTTTCAAGAGATCCATGGGAAACCTAAAATCAGCTTTGGCCTAATTAAGTCCAGTTCCCCATTCCCTGTCAGGCCTCTTTCCAGCATACACATTAGGGACGACGTTGCCGGCCAATAAGTTTTCAGGTCTCAGCTTCGGCCTGGAGTTAATTAGGATGCCAGAGATGGCTTTCATCTGATTATGTCCTGCCTCTCACCTTATCATTGATCGATTTAATGGAAAAGTGATTCTCAGGTTGTTTATTGGGGAATAAAAGTTGCAGATGATGTGCGCATGAGCCTGAGACTTTTCAGGGGATCGGAGGAGCTCTGAAAATTGAGCGTCGCCATTCAAGTCAGTGGGAAGAGGCGCTGATTTTTATTAGAGATATTACCCGAAATAGGACTTAAAAAGTTTGCAAATTCCAAAATAGGACTTCCATGTTTTTATTTCCAAAATAGGACTAATTACTGCCATGTTTTGGCAGTACCAGACTTCAAACATGGCAGTATTTTCCAAATTTGACAGTAATTAGTCCTATTTTGGGAATAAAAACATGACATTCCTATTTTGAAATTTTCCAACTCTTTTAGTCCTATTTCGGGAACTTTCCCTTTTTATTAATTACGGCACCGTTTTGGGATCGACACACCGTGCGCACGCTAGGCCAATCACACGGTATAATTTGCGTTCAACTCAAATTTTGTTTAATACAGAGTATCATACATGGCTCAGCTGATACGGTGACACTAGTGATTTTTTTACTGTCATTGACTCATTGCCAAATGCCAACTAGGAACTAATCTTCTACGGAGTATAAATTCATAAAGTTTGTAACACCTAAGAGCATCTCTAATGCTGTAATGTGGACGGTGCACATGTGGCATCAAAAATAGCCACATAAATATTAACAAATAAATTATCTCTCTCCTTATTTGAATGATTTTATACAATTTTGGTAAGTTTTTCTTTGCAATGTCAATCACAATGTCAATATTTAGACGGTCTTATTGACAATTTGACATTGTGGAACAAAATTTACCAAATTTATATAAAACCATTCAAATAAGGAGAGAGATAATTCATTTGCTAATATTTTTGTGGCTATCTTTCATGCCACATGTGCACCGTGCACATTATAGCATTGGAGATACTCTAATTAACAAAGTTCATTTCAAGAAGTCAAACTGTCAAAGTAACATTTCTTGAAATCCGATGTGTACAAAGAATTATTATAAATTCATTACTAGAAAATCGGTGATATTAGAAAGGAATATATCTTACCTTCCAAAATAAAATTAAAATTGAAATCAATGCGGAATTGTGTCACATGTAGAGCAGGATTGGTAGCACGAAAATCGGTTGATTTAGTTGATTCTGCTGAAATTTATAAAGTTCTGACTCAAGTAGCTGCATTGTCTGATTCTGCTGATTTAAGAAAAAAATATTTTTAAAATATATTTTATTAAAAAAATAAAGAAAAAATTATATATAAAAACAACTAAAATGATATTTACAGTAACTCTAACCAATAGACCCAGAAAAATAGCTTCAACCTTACTTTTCTGATAAGTCGAAAAACATGACCTCATAATATTTAGTAAGACGTCATAATATAAGCAAGTGCCCTTGGTTACATTAAGCATTGAGTTCTTATTGCTACTGCTTTTGATTGACTCGATAACGACCATAGTCACCTTTTTTGACTTAAGGAGAGAATTTACTTTAAAGATTTCTTTTTAATATGAGCAAGTGCCCTTGGTCAGTCTTGCACCGATACTTCACCCTGATGCCGTATCCGCGTATCTGATACGTATCCGATACCGACATCTCGATGCGTATCCTTTGTAAATTGCCGTATCGTCGTACCCGTATTCGCGTATCGGCGTATCCGTGTCCGTGCAACATAGCCCTTGGTTACATCAAGGATTGAGTTCTTAGGATGTTTTTACTTGGACTGTAATTTGTCCCAGACCAGACCAGACCAGTCCAGACCAGAACAGTTCAGACCAGACCAGACTTGGATAGTTATAAAAATACAAAGAAACCAGACCTTACCAGACCAGACCAGACTAGATCAGACCAGACCAGATCAGACCAGACCAGCAAATTACAGTCCAAGTAAAAACATCTTATTGATACTGCTTTTGATTGACTCGATAACGACGGTAGTCAGCTTTTGACATAAGGAGAGAATTTACTTTAAAGATTTTTTTTATCTAAACTGAATTTATTAAGAAATTATTGAAAAAGTGATTTGTTATAAAAATAGAAGAATAAGAAAATAATTTTAATTTAAAAGTAAGAATTGAAATATTTGGTAAAGAAGTTGGAATGTTTGATAAATTTACAAACACAGGTATGGATGGACTCGGTTCGGGCTGGGCCCGGGCCGGGCCTCAGGTATTTTTTTGCCTGTTCCTAATTAACCTCCAACCCCCCCCTCACACCCAAACCACCTCAAACCACCTCAAATGGTCCAAAATACCCAGCATAATCCAAAAACTTAAAAAAAATTCAAAAAAAAATTAAAATGGCCCAAACCGGCCGGGCCGGTTCACGTTTTGAGGGGGCCGGAACAGTGGCGGGCCGGGCCGGTTCCGGATCGGGCCACCCGGCCCGAGTCCACCCATAAACACAGGTAAAGAGCGGTGAAGAACATAAGGTACAATGAAGAACATAAGCTATGTTTAAAGCCTTATAACGCCAAACTTGACATAAATTTATCCATATTCAGGGAATAAAAAACATGATACTCATATTTTGGAATTTCAATATGTTTTTACTCCTATTTAGGGAATTCTCTCTATTTGATATGCGAGAAATATCACTACTACATACTTCCTCCGTCCCAATTTACTCATTGAAAAAATCACACTTTTAGTCCCTCAAATAGTCACCACATTGAAACGTTAAACCCATGTTCCCGAGTTTGTAAATGTCACCCCTCAATTGTCTTACTTGTTGTGAATGTGGCCCCTTGGGAAGTGAAATGTACAATATGGGTGAGGGGTACATTTCACCCCTCAAAGGACCACATGTATAACAATTTGAACAATTGAGGGGTGACATTTACAATTTTTGAAATATGGGTCTGATATTTCAATATGATGACTATTTCAGGGACTAAAAGTGCGATTTTGCCTTACTAATTTTACTTTCCTTTTTAGATAGTTCCAAAATAAGTGTCTCATTTACTTTTTTGAAAAAAAATATGTAGTCTATAAATAACATTTCAGTGTATTATACTCAAATTCCAATCATAACTTTTACTTCCTCAATCACTTTTTAATAATTATGCTAAGCTAAAGTAAGTCACACAAAATAAGACAGAGATAGTACTAAGTATTTGCCAACCAATTCAGTAAAACGTTTAACAACTCAACGTCTACGATATACTCGTAATGTTTACATAACGTGCGCCCTGAGAAACTTGCACTAGTAAGTTATCGGGATTCGCCACTAGCCTTTTTCTAGTGATAGGAAAATACATATTCCGGACCAGTTAACTTGCAAAAATCATTTGACGACCTTCCCGATCGAATTTTGAGCAGAAATTTGGTATGGACAAACTAGACTTGATGAGGAACATGCTCAAAAAATTTTATCAAAAAATTCCACCGGGAAGGTGCCCAAACGGGCTCGGCCAGACGGGGCAGCCCGTCAAGCCGGCCTGATGAGAAGAGCTCTCTATAGTAGTCATTAGTTATATTTGTGTAAATACGTTTTATTTTAGTATTATCCTCTGTCTCTTTTTAATCGCAACATGTTGAATTTTATACTATTCACATGTTCTACTTTGACTACATTTTATATTATTATTTTATGAAAATTATTTTCTTTAAAAAGTATTGTTTAATTCATCTCATTACAAATTTTCAAAATCTATTTTTTAAATATTTTTTACTAATAGAGATTAAGATAAAATTACGGTCAAAGACGTGCGTTGACAAATGTGAAATGTTGACCGTTACAACTAAAAAAGAACAGAGGAAGTATTATTTTTGAAAAAATCTCACCAATAAAGTAAATTTGCCACTTCTCGACCATCGTAGGGTGCTTCAGGACATGGCTGTTATCTATTCGGTATTTGCCGTTAGAGAAGGGACAAATTACTTCTTTTAGTGGAATAAAAAATATTTTTGCTCCATAATTAAGTTGAAGGGCTTGGATGCCCTTTAGTGATAAAGTCTTGGGGGGGTTTTGCCCGTTTTCCCTTCTAAATATTTTGAAGAAAATAGTGTTCACCAATTCCTTTCATGTTATACGCCAAAACAGCCGATATAATTTTGGGTGCAAGGGCGTATTTTTCCAAAAAACAGTAAATTTTCTCCAAAAATATTACGGAAAACTTTTTCTTTTAATAAAACGGCAAATTTCGTCCAAAAAAATTGTTTGTAATCCAAAGAGAAACAAATTGGAAACGCAAAGTTAAAAATTATTATAAACAAATAGAAGGAAGAAAAGGCCATTGCATAAATGAGTAAAGTAATGTACGAGCAAATTAGTGCACGGGCCGCATAAAATGAGGCGACTATGCAAGCATATTAAACTCGCGCCGGCAAAGACGACACTTTATCGGCAACAAATAGAGCTGATTACGCTACAAAGCGAACCAATGACGATTAACTGTATATTGCCTTCTTTGTTAAACCAAATTAAAACAAAAGTTTGGTCAGAGAACAAACCACCGCGTTCATCGGCGGCGCAGAAAGACGAGTTTCCATCGTAATGGTGATCAGGAATATATAGTGGCGAGGGTTGTGGAAGTAAGCCCTAGGTTTTGGACTTGAATCAATTCTGTATTGGGCTGAATGTGAGCTTCAGAATGCGGGGCTAGGTGGGCCGTGGGCACATCTATATCTAAACGTACCATACCTTGTCTTGGATCAATATAACAATCGTGTATCTCAAATATAATAATAATGTCAGAAATAATTTTTTTTGGACCAATAAAAGTAATATGTCTAAAATCTTATAATGGCCAATGGGGATTAATACCCTTATGGGAATAAAAATGTGTTGGTGTAATAGTGTAGCTATATAGAGTTGTACATTATTCTAAAGGCATAGTACCGCTCTTATTTCTTGCTCTTTGCCCGCAGCTTCCGTTAAGTTAAACCCCGATTCGTTAAATTCATAGTGGCGCACCATCCCATCCTTGTTTAACTTCACGTCTCCGTCTTTGCTTCACTTCCACTTCGTATCAATTCCATTCATTCACAAACATGATACAACCTTATCTCTTCCTGCACTCAACATCCAGCATCCCTTAGGGTTAATTAGATGGGATAAGGAAGGCTTAGCTTACGGATTTTTAGAGAGATGGGTTCGTCGCGAACTCAAGGTTCCTGACCGTCGTCGCATACTTAGCGGGAGGAGTTCTATTTTCGCCGGAAACCTTCAGGTCAAAGTCCGATATTCAACGGCCTCTCGAGACCCTCACGTTTGTGAAATTGGCCCACCTACTCTACTTCTCCACCTCGTGGGGAGCGGCTCTATGGTTCACCTTCATTGGCGGCATCATCATGTTCAAGAATCTGCCGAGGCATCAGTTTGGGAATCATGTCCCCGACGTACTTCACTCTGGTCGGAGTTTGCTGTGTGGGATCGGTTCCGGCTTTTGGGTACTTGCATCCATGGAAGACCTCATTCTGGGGCTCTTGCTTTTAACTATCAGCAATCTTTTACTCTTCACTCCCATGATTACTCCTATCATGTGTTGGTTTGTGAAGAACAGCTTACGAAATTGGTAGTTTCCTTTCAATCTCTTCCCAATCGTTTTATTCAACATACTGATTTAATCTCATATAACCATTAGCCAATTGTAGCTACCATCTGACCATTCCTGTTTTGCGTGTTTGAGTTATGGGGTGATACACCTTAAAGTGTTTTAGATGTTTTCTGAGTTTATAGTGAATAATAACTATGTTGTTGTAAATTAGCATCATTGACCTGATGTGCTTTTTGCCTAAGTGGTGTAGGGTAAATTATGTAGTTCTTCCATGTGGTCTTAGTAATAGTGCATTATTTTAGTTAAGTTATGATGAAGAAAGAATAAGGTTAAGTCATGTATTTAGGTATTTCTTTTGATGGAATTTATCTTGAAAACTAAAACATGAATTTGAGGTATTAAAGGTCTTTTTGATATTCCTCCAGCTAGAGAATTTATTAGGAGAGGGGATCTTCATGTCTAATGAGTTCATATGATATGCAAAACCAAAACATGAAGGTGAAATTATTCGTAAGGAGATTATTTCACAATCTCCTTCTCTTTCCTGAAAACTTTGCAAGATTTAATGTGTAGCTTTCCTCCCTCTCTGATCTTACCTTCTATCGCTGGTGCCTATTACATAGTTGTACATGAATCCATGCATGCTACCTCTTTCTATGTGAACCCCGTTCGATGGTAAAACTCATACAACTCGTGAAGGCTTGACAGCAGCTTATGGCAAGTGGGGATCTGTACTTGCTTCCCGATTGCATGCTGATGGACTTTCCTGTAATGTATGAATATATATTGCATGTGATTGTTTTATATATTGCATGCTGGTGGACTATCTCTTAGAGTGGCTTGTCCCAAGTGGCTTGCGGCTCAGCCAAGTGACCCTACTAGTTCTCAATTCTATCAAGAGCACCTTATATGTTTTGAGATGTAGATTGCCATTTTCATATTTTAATTTTCTTATTCACAGAAAAAAGTCCATCATTGTATGAGTATGCTTTTGAAGTCTCATTATGTCATGGTTTCAAAATCAGGTCATTGACAAAGAGGCATTTCAGAAGCAAATGTTAGAAAAGCTTATATGGATATACGGAGTATATAAGTGCATTCATGCTTCTGGCTCTGGCAGCTCGTCATCCTGGATCAACTGTAGATGCTGTTGAAAAGCAGTACCGATATGAGGTAAATTGTACTCCGTAAATAATTATTCTTGTTGCTCGTCATCCTGGAGCAACTGCATGTAGGTGCTTGTCAATGTACAACTTTTTTCAATGCACTACTTTTTGTCAAGGTTTACTCAACAAAGTTTCATTGGATATGCTTTTTTCCATTAAAAGAAGTTCTAAAAAACTACATTTGAAATAAAAATTGCTAACTATTTATGTGAGTAAAATAAAAACAGTGATCTTGCTATGGGGCTTGTTTTCTCTATACATAATACATTGGATAGTGACTGTGGTGATGTTCACAACAACTCCTGCCATATCAAGCGTGATTTTATTTAATCCCCGACAATTCAATAATTGCAACCACTAAAGTCAATTGAAGTGAGGCCTTAATGTAATTGACCAGGAATTGGATTAAAAAATCAAGTGGATCCTTTCAGGTATCCAAACTTATTAGTGAGCTAGCAGCAGTTGCAGCTGCAGAGAAAGGAATACTCCTTAAAGAAGCTATGGAGGATACGATATGTGCCTACTCACGGGTAGTTGCCCGATTCCCAGCATCAGTCAAGGAGGTAGGAAATGCTTGTCAGTCTTGGGGGATATCAACATAACCACCTCTGATGGGCTAACAACTTTGTACTTTTTGTTGGTGTTCATTTCTTCCTGTAGTTACAAATTCCAATGGAGAAATGGCCGGTTCTATTCGCTCTCACAGAAAGCACTTGCAGCCGGAAAGTCTGGTCTGTGTGCATTGCATACCGCATGGCTCAATGATATACACCCTGATTTGCTTCTATCTCCCCCAATCCATTTCTGTTTTAGTGTCTATGTTATTCCCTTCTATTTTCCATGTTTTGAAAAAGAGAAAGATGCGGAGTATATGGATATAACTTAAACATTCATAAAGTGGTCCGCAAAGTGGCTACTGAGTATGTCCACAAAGTGACTGTATTAAGAAAAGCTGGTATTGTAAATACAATTTCTCTTTGGAAAAACACCACCCTTTTTAAAGTAGAAATAAAGACTGGAATAAGACCCTCGACTTTTAGGTTTACAAAAATGGGACTAATTCTAATTTGGACAAAAATCAGACATATGTACGGCCCTCTTCTACGAATCGTCTCCCATCTCCATATACCGCACTTCTCCATTTCTCAGAGCTATGGCGCTATGGATTGATTTGAGCTGCGAGGCGAGCTAGGCCATCGGCGATTCCGAGCTGCTAGGCGAGCGGAGACAACTATGGCGAGGAGCGACTGCAATGGCGACGGTGATGGCGAGGGCCGTCGGTGAGCGGCGGCGTCGAACGTCAACTTTGTTCAACCTGTCTCTTCTCCTTCTATTTCTGTTCGAGCGCCAGCTAGATCGGCGAGCAACGGCGGGATAAATTTTTACGGTTAGTGTTGCAAGGCGGTGGTCTGGTGGTTGGGCAGATCTGGCTAGGGTTGGGTAGATTCGTTGTAGATCTGTCTGGCCGTTGAAAGAGGGTTGCGAAAGGTGCTGGAGATGGGGGCAAGGGATGTGGAGGGGCTGTGGCAGGGGAGGGAGCTCAGGAGGACATGGTCAGGGCGGTGGTTGTAGTATCGACGGTGGTTAGGGGTGGTGGTGGTCGGAATCAATCAGGGCAGTGGTGGTCGGAATCATTCAGGGCGGAGGTGGTCGGAATCAGTCAGGGTGGTGGTGGTCAGAATCAGTATGGACGGTGGTGGTTGGAACGGGTTGGGGCTGTGGCGGTCAGAATCAGTCAGGGCGGTGGTGGCCGGAACTGGTTGGAACTGTGGCGGTCGCACCGGTGGAGGTCACCGGCCGAGTTGGTCACAGTCGGATTGGTCACAGTCGGATCCGTGTTATTGGGTCGGGTAAGTGTAATTGGTCGATCCGGGTAACTGTAACTAGACGGGTTATGTAACTGTAACTATAATCAGGCGGGTCGGGTAACTGTAACTGGATGGGTCAGGTAACTGTAACTGGACAGGTCGGGTAACTGTAACTGGACGGGTCGGGTAAGTGTAACTGGATGAATCATGTAACTGTAACTGGACGGATCGAGTAACTGTAACTGGATGAGTCGGTAACTGTAACTGTACGGGCAGACGTTGGTCACTAGACGGGTGAATGTTTGTCACTTGGTCACTAATAATTTTTTGTCACTGGAGGAATTTGGTCACTGACGGTTTTTTGGATTTTTGGTCACAAACGATTTTTGGTCACTGAGTGGATTGGTCATGGTCACTAGTCAGATTGGTCACTGGACGGGTTGACGTTGGTAACTAGGTAAAAATTTTGGTCACTAATGATTTTGGTAACTGACGGATTTTTGGAATTTTGGTCACAAATGATTTTTGGTCACTGGGTGGATTGGTCATGGTTACTAGTCGGATTGGTCACTGGACGGGTTGACGTTGGTAACTAGGTAGAATTTTTTGTCACTAATGATTTTGGTCACTGACGGATTTTTGGATTTTTGGTCACAAATGATTTTTGGTCAGTGACGAATTTTGGTCACGATAATGGTTTTGGTCACTGTGACGTTATTGTAGACTAATGTGTGAGATTCTATTAAAATAAGGGTATAATAGTCTCTTAACCCATTGTTAGTCTCATTTTTGGAAAATTGAAATAAAGGTCTCTTTTTTGTTCATAGCTCTTTTTTTAGTATTATTTTAGACATAACCCCACAATAAAATGGGATGCAAACCTAAATTACCTCATTTTCAAACTTTTATTCCTGACCGTGTTTTACTTCTACTTAAGTAATTCACTATTATTTTAATTGCTCTTTGTTTCAAATAATTTGTAGTTGATTAAGCCCTTCAAACTAGGAGTAAATCACAGGTGAATGTGGTTTTAGACCGTGTTTGCATTTAATTTTTGGCTTAAAAAGCTGTAATGGGTTTTTTAATTGAATTTTTTTACTTAATGCAGGTTGGAAGTAAGTGGAAGAGGTGCTTTAAACTACTTTTCATTTTTCATATTACACACAAAAAAAACAATTGTTTCACCAAACACTATCAACTTTTACTATTTTCAAAAAAATCAAACACTACCAACTTTTACTATTAAACTTTTTCTCTAAAATCACTTTCAAAAATCATTTTTAAAGTAAAAGAAATCGCAAATACTATTAGGGATGTTTGTATCTACTTCTTAAAACTGTTTATGCTCCTTTAGAGAGCATAAGTATTTCTCATTGCTCTAAATTACTCTAAGAAGCGGTTTTTTAAAAGTTGAGGGAGAACAATTTTTGAAAATTAATTCTGATTCTACCTCTACATTCAAAAAGAATAAATTACTCTTCATTCGTTTACCCAGACGAACTTTTCGTGTATCATCATCATCATGGAGGGTCTTTTCTAAGACAATTCTTTTCGGTACAAAAAGAAAATTTGGAGAGAAAACAGTTTCTTATTTCTCCATTTCCCTCATTATTTATATGGGGTTTTTCCCTTAATATTACAAAATTAAAGCTAATTTTCCAAAATGTGAGCACATTTACATTTGGACAAAAATGTGATTAGATAAAGTGACAACCAAAAAGTTCATGTCATTGCCCAATTTTTATGTCACTTTCGGATATCACTGTCGCCATGTCACTATCGACGACATCGATCGTGTCACTGCTGTCAGTCAAAGTCGCCATCACAGCCGGTCACCACTGCCGGCCACAGTGACTCAGTTACAATGAAACTGCGACAGTGACACTGCTTCGGGCTACTGCCCCTTCCCCATCCCCCTGCCCTTGTCACCGTCACAGTGACCCGGCCACCGCCGGTCATCACCGCCACCCGCCCTCAGCACCAACCTCCAACACTCGGATCTGAAAATTAAAGCCACCATCGCTAATGGAGGCAATGTTCTTGCAGGAAAATCCTTTTTCGTTATTGAATTTCAACATAGTGGCACTGTACGAGTTCCATGAGAAAGTGGATATCTTTGAAGTAGAACTCTGTGGAAAGGTTTTTGACGGCTTGGTGGAGGTCCTCCATCAGAGGATTGGGCTCTCCTCTGATTGAAAATTTTCATCTGCAAATCTCTTATATGTGGATTCATCTAGAGGAGATATGGGCGTTGCGTCGATGAGCTGTGTAGATGTCTTGCTCTCCCTGGGGTTTGTGCGCTGAAAGGAGGACGGAAGAAATGGAAGTCTGTTCAATTTGAACTTTGCACCTCGTTTTTAAAAAACTTTGTATTTGTAGTCAACCCCGTATGCAAAGACAAAAATGCCTCTTGACCAGGAATATGTTGGAGGCAAAATTATTAATGGATGATCATTTTTCTCTTTCCATACGGGGTTGGGGGTGCAAATACAAAGTTTTTTGAAAACAGGGTGCATTGTCCAAAGTACACAATAAAATGGGGTGGGAACTGAAATTACCCCTATGAATATTCCCAAAATATGAATTTTTTGTGACAAAAATGCCCTTGCATGTATTAAACCTCAACCGCCACCTCATGCCACCTGTCGTCGTCAGACTTTGGCTTCCGCATGCCGCCGCCCCGGTTGGGCAAAAAAATCCAGATTTTTTTTTTGCCTCAAATTTCGAGCAATCGCTCGAAGTCCACCGGTCGCCGCCACCACCACCGGACCGACTCGCCATCAATAGATTGAACCGATTGCCCAAGGGAACTAGGAACACTTTTTTTTTTTGGAAGAATGGGGCTTAGATTGATATGAAAACATTTAGATAGTGGTTAAAATAACAAAAGAACCACAAGTAACCATCCGCCCTTGAGCCAGACTTAGAGTTAATCACCTTTGGCAAAGCAATATAACTCGCTGATCCTAAATTGTGCATAATTGAGCCAATGACGGTTACCGCAGAACTCTCATCACCCACTCCTAATGCAAAAGTCTTACAGTACCAAAGTAAATAAAAACCAAAAACAACAATCTATGCGTGGAAATTAAAAATCAAAACAACAATAAAATAAAAGCCAATTTAGTCTTCTTCAGTAGTAGCATCCCTCGCATGACCGGCGGGCAGGACTATGAGCCTGGACCCGCTGCCACCTTAGTTTTTGTTTTATCAAGGGCCTCACCTGTTGTGTCCTCTTGTGCTTGTACCTCCCATATTCTTCTGTGTTTCTGGTCCACTGGTACAACCTCAGCGCTTCCACTGCCTTCTTCTTTGGTGGCACTATTTTCTGTACCAGCTGTATCCTCTCTCCTTCCCTGACCCCAGTACTCTCACCCTCTTGATCTGTCCTTCTCTGTTGCCTTTGACCTGACGGTTTTTCCACTAAACACTTATTATCCCTTGTGGGGCTAGTCTTCCCCCCCACCTGCTCGAAGCTCTACCCAAAGGATTTTTCCTATACTAAATCATCCTCATAATTCAAGGGACATAATTTCTCGGAATGCCCAATCACCTCATAAATGAAACAGAAATTAGGTAGTTTCTCGTATTTAAAATCCACCCAGTGTCCAATACCCCCTCTCGTAAGGGTAGATTTCTTCTTTAGGGGCTTCCTTACATCCAACCTCACCTTAATCCTAAAATAAGATTCCCGTTTTTCTTTAAAATGACTCTCATCAGACCTATACCGCCTGAGCCCTGATTTTCCGATCAGTAAGAACCACCCCCACCACCAAAAATTCAGCTCCCTTTGCGGTTGAATCAAGATCTCCGACTCCCTCGTTATCAAAGTTCAAATTACTGTTTTCCTCCACTATAGCCATCCTTTTATATTGATCCACCACCCCTTCCATTAATTGAAAACAAAAGCAAAGTTTGAGAGCAAAATTCTGCCGACACCGAAGCCACGTTGCGACCGACGACCGCTGCTCGAACTACTCCGAAACGAAACTCGTTGTCTGCGTCCGACGACCGCGTTCTTCGTCCCTGCTTTACTCGCACCGTTCTTCGTACGAGATGAAAAACGGGAATACCCTACGCTACAGTAGAGGCAGCCGAGAGAGGCAACCCTAGAGAGAAAATTTTGTGATTCCTTAGGGAACTAGGAACACTTAATTAATTAGATTAGGAGTATTGAGAGTAGAAAATTAATATTTAATCCCATTTTCGAAAGGTTTAGATTTATTCCTATTTGTGCAATTATGTTTGAATTTAATCTTATTTGGGGTAATTACTATTTAAATTAATAATATTAGGGTGCGCTAAGCCACCCTTGATTAATTAATGAGAAATGGACAAATAAATTCTTGAACTATTTGCGATTCTGCAATCAGACCATGAACAGGATGATTTGCAGATACACTCCTCAACTCCTTAAATATTAAGCAATCAACCCCTTTTACCTGTTAGTGTTAATCATTTCTCATTTTCTTACCTGCACTAGCAAGTAAAAAAAATAAGTTACTTAATTTTCAATTGATGAATGTATTTAGTATTTACAACTCTTCTATAGAGGGACCGACCAGATTGTAGAATACTATAGGGTTGTATACGAACCGAATCGAGTCGAATAGTGAGATTTTGTATTTGTATTTGTTTAATTTTTTCGAATATGAAACCGAATTCAAATATGAAACGAATATTAATTTCGATTTGTATTTGTATTTGTTTAACAATACGAATAATTAACGTATCACATACGAATATCGAATCGATTTGAGCATAAGTTAAATATCAGTCAAATATCACTTTAAGTAATTTTCTTATATTTTACGATATAAATGCATGCTACGACTTAATATGTGTTTTAAAATTTTAATTTAAAAAAATACATTTTTCTTTAAAATTTAATGGATCGATACATTTTTAGGTTGTGCACAATATACTAAAGGCAATCAATTATCGATCAAATTGATAATTGTATATATCATAGTCAAACACCTCTAATTTTATTCTTTGAATTGAATTCATAATTATTTGTATTCGTATTTGAAAGATATTTGAACCAAAAATCTGATTTGTATTCGTATTTATATTCTATATTTTCAAATTTAAATCGTATCTTTTGAATCCAAATCCCGAATCGAATTAAAATTATTTGCTTCCTTTACAATCCTTACTCCGTATGATACTTCTGATTTATTACAAATGAGTTTGAAATTTGTATACATAAATGTATATATGGACTACACTTTGAGTGTATAGCTATCATTTAAAAGTCATTATAGTGTTATTACTATTATTATTAATATTATTATAATAATATCACTTATCATTAATCGAATATATTTGATTAATATTCGAATCGAATACACTGATATTCTTATTTGTATTTGATAACAATTCGAATCATATTTAGTATTCTTATTTGTATTTGTATTTGAATTTTTCGAATTCGAATAGTCTTAAACGAATTCGAATCGCGAATCGAACAAAAATTATTTGATTCGTTTACAACCCTACCTAGTAGAATCACAAATTCACAACTAGTTCCATGTTATATTATCTCTTTTCTCTTAATTAATTGTTTAATTAATGGAGTACGGAGTAAATAACTCGGTTATCAATACCTGGTCCCGCGAACATGTCGACCCTATAGAACGATTTTGAAATCTGTGTCGCACAGAGGATGATCACATTCAGAGGGGCTTGGGAGGGGGAGAAATAGCATCAACAGACCAGGCAAAGATTGTGACCACGAAGACTGTCTGTAATGGACAACCTCTTAGGCATTCTTAAGGTCCGCATCAAACGAGGTGTCAACCTCGCCGTCCGCGATGTCCGCACCAGCGATCCTTACGTTGTTGTCAAGATGGGCAAACAGGTTCACCGTCCTCTTCTTCTCCTTTCGCGAACGTCGTTAAAACTGCGCATTCTGATTATTTAAATGTTATTTTCTCATCTTCTTTTGGGAGGGCGAGGTTCGCTCTTTGAATTCGCAGCAAAATTGGGTTATTTAGGCTTTTTGTATTTACTTTTTCTCTTTGTATTTGAATGAAATGATGCTCAGTTTAATGATTTTTTTGTATAGTGGCCATTTCTGGAAACAATGTGTGTATACTAATGTACTCCGTATAAGATTCTTCCCTGTGGGAAGGATCTCGAATTTTAACATTGCTGGATTTTTAATTTCAGAGTTTGGGGGGCTAAATTTTACACTTTTATTGAGACCATGCATTAAAGAAATGTGTATCAAATGAAAATCATTAACACATATTTGATGTACTTCCGTGAAATGAGGTTTCTGTGTATTTATTCTTGCAGAAGGTGAAAACCCGTGTTATAGAAAAGGATGTCAATCCCGTATGGAATGAAGATCTTACACTTTCTGTTTCAGATCCTAACCTTCCCATTAAGCTGGTAAGCTTTCTTACTTTTACTACTTTGGTAAATTATGAGAAAGTAATGACAAGTGGTTATGCCTTGTGAATTGAGTAGAGAATAGGAACTACCACCCCACCAATGTCTCTAACTTGCTAATCAAAGCTTCTTCCTAGACTACATTGCTATCAACGTTGCAAACAATGTGAAAGAATCGTGTTTGTTTAAGGATGCCTTAAATTCTTTTGCTGTCTATGTTTATGGTTGTTGAGATAATTGATGACTCGTGTGGCTCATAATTAGAAAAGATTTTGTGGGTGTGAAAAGGAAAGGCAACCAAAAGGAAACTGCACGGAAAGAAAAGGGAAGGTCCTCTGTACTTCCTGTAGCAATTTATCTTGTTCTAATGCTCATTCAGACATTCACTTTTGCCTTTAAGTTGAAGCATTTTGCTTCATTCTATGCATCCCAAAATTGAGTGAGTTAGCGTACAAAGAGAGTAGAGCTTAAAGTTTGTATGTTCACTTGTATAATTTGGCTTTTAGGGTATATGGAAAGATCCATTTGGAACATTTGTATCTCTTATGTGTGGGTTTGGGTTTAAAAAATTCACCATTTGAAGATAGTTGTCTGTGGAGTAGAAAAATTGCCCAACCGTGTAGTCTCACTCTTCTTACTTTTTCGTATTTTTTGAGTTCTATTTGTCCGGTAATATTGACTTGGTGAAAAACAAATTGTGTCGTAGTTGGGTGAGACTCTTTTATTTTCCAGTGTATCAAAAAAAAAAAAGTCGGGTGAGACTCTTTTTGAGTCCTTCAACTACCTGGGAATATTTTATTGTTTAATCTTATGTAGAATTATTCTCGCAGTGAATGAATAATGTAATTGATTGATTGCATGCTTCCAGACAGTGTACGATCATGACACATTCAGCAAGGATGACAAAATGGGAGATGCAGAATTTGACATCAAACCATTTTTGGAGGCACTGAAGATGCGCTTAGATGGATTCCCCAGTGGCACTGTGATCACACGAGTACAACCATGCAGAGCAAACTGCCTGGCCGAGGAGTCGTGCGTAGTCTGGAAAGATGGTACAGTCTCACAAGATATGTGCCTCAGATTGAGAAATGTGGAATGTGGCGAGGTAGAACTCCAATTTCAGTGGATTCAACTTCCTCGCAACAAGCCTTGATATGTTGCTGGCCTAAGCAAGATTAAATGGACCACCTGTGTATGATTTCCCATGCCAAGGGGCTGTATCTCAACGCGCGTATATAATATATAAAACTATATAAGTGCCTTGAACTTCTGGGGGTTCTATTAATTTCATTTTGTCTTTGAGTTTACATTTGTACTATACTACTATGTAATACTCATGGGGGCTGCACTAGTCTGACCTCACGTGTTCTTGATGTTTTGTAATCATAATAAAGATTCTATTTTTGCAAAGCAGTGGATTATACTATCTTATTATGCTTGTTGTTTCTATTGCACATCGGTTTCTAAAAAAAGGCGACATTGTAAGTTTGTAAGGCAGTTACAATTAAAGGCTTTCTTTAATTGCGAGTACGATGCCAGCGGTCTAGACAACCCCTCTTCCATTTTATTGCGAGTACGATGCCAGCGGCTTTCTTTAGACATGACTGGCACTTTTTATAAAAACTAGTAAACTCACTCGTGCGATGCACGGTCTCAGAATTTTACTTATAAATATATTTGTGCTTAGTAATTCAAGTCACACTATCAATTCATGATAGCATCTATCTTCATGTAATACTGATATACATCAAAGCACTAAACGAAACACACTTATAATATTATGGTCAAAATGAAAGTACTAAGCATTACTTAAAATATAAAAAACATCTAACAAATAAGTTGAAACCATAACATTGTAAATATGCATTTAATGTAAACCTAAACATTGTTGAACACTTTTTTGAACACAACATTCTGAGTCTTGTCAGTGGTTCCTTTATGTTCATTAACAATTAGAATTTTCAAGCCACAACGATTATTGGTAACCCTTGATACTGCAACATACAACTGTCCGTGGGTAAATACCGATTTTTTCAACAACAACCCAACACGGGACAAAGATTGACCTTGACTTTAGTTTATAATCATAGCATATGAAGTCATAACATAATATTATCGCCTATGAAATTTAAAAGGCAAGCTGGCATCAGATGGCATCAAGGATAATCTAGGAATTAATACTTTTTGTCCAACACTCACACCGGTTAAAATCTTCCCCTCCAAAATATGATCACCGAGCCTCGTTAGAATAAGACATGTCCCGTTACACAACCCCATTGAATGATCAATATTTTGCAAAAGCATCATTGGGGTCCCTACCTTTAACGTTAACTCATGATTCAGTACATCAAACAATTTTGTACTATTCAAGAACTCAAGTGTGCAGTTCCGCCATTAGATTGGTCGTATAATCTACCTTAAAAACACTGTCAAAACTAAAATATGTTCTTGAAACTTCACCAACATTAAGAGCCGTCATATAGTCATTAACACACCCAATGTCAGTGTCAAAATTGCACGGTCGCACAAACAACTCATATCACTTGCAGATTTAACATATTTCGGAAATATGCTTTCAACAATCGCAGCTATAGTATTACTATCCCGAAATTAATGATGGTCATGTTCGTATTTTTCCCAAACATACTCCGGTCTAGCCACCGACTATGTCCACAACAATATTACAAATAGAATCCTCAAACAATAGGCATATGAGAAATGACTTGCCTCACTCAAAGCATCAATGAATTCTCTACCATCGTCGAGCAATCCTAACGCATATCACGCATAAAAAAAGAATCATAAGTAACATCATTTAATGTTTTCAAATCCTCATGACTCGTTGCACCACAAATGTGATTCAAAAGACACCTAATGTAATAAGATTCACCGCTATCGAGATGAACATAGTAGACTCTGCCAATAGCGAATGCTTCTACTATTTCTAATATCTAAGTATGGTCTAGTCTGATTTGTTTAAGTTTGGGTTGGTCTGAGACTGAAATAAGTCCAAGTATAAACATCTCAAGTAATATGTTGACTATGCATTTATACGAATTGCACTAATTACACGAATTGCCCGGGTAAATTGGCAAATCAGGGGGTGCAAATATGTGAAAGTGTATTATGGCATTATTAAACAATACTTAAATATGAATTTGTGAGAAAATGTTAGCTGAGTCCGTATATGAAAAGTAATGCTATCATTTAAGCACAATAACTTTCGAAACACATTCAGTAGGTAGAATCTATAATAGTTATTAATTCAAAAATAAGTACAACTCTAGTGCGATGCTCGGTTGGTGAAATTTAAAGGGCGAATTTTTACTCAAATTAGAAAAGAAACACACAATAATCAAGTTTGATGTAAAATGAAATGTATTCAATACGATTTACGGAGTATCAATGATTGTGGAATAGCACAATGTGTATAGTCTAACAAAATAGTAACACTCAATACAAATATAATTTGAAAACAAATCACATTCTTTGCTTGACTTAATGAAAAACTTATTTATACAAAAAATTCCCGGTTTCACATTATATTCTCATGTCATCGTTTGTGTGCAGTGTCATTTTTTAGGTTTAGTGGTTGCTTACTCTTGACAAAACCATGTAAAGATGACCATGACTAAAAATAGTTTTTTCAACAACAAACCAACACTCGGCAAAGAAACATGCATAAAACAAACGTGTGATACACAGTGGGTGAGTATTTTCAAATATGTATAAGGGGTTGTTTGAAACTAATTCTGCTCCTGCTTCTTTCTAAAACAGAAACATAATCTGGATCAATTTTCAGAAGCTGTTCTCCCCCAACTTCTAAAGAACCGCTTCTCAGAGTAAATTAGAGCACCAAAAGTACTTCTGCACTTTCACCCAAATACTCAAACTTGTGCTTCTGCTCCATGAAGGAGCAGAAGCAGTTTTAAGAATTAGATCCAAACACCCCCTAAATACTCCGTCTATGGGTGGGAAAAACCGAATCAAAATCTAAATGTGAACTGCGATCTCAACCAAATGATGTTATCAGCTGCTTGATATTTCAATTTCTCGAGTGCACTAACTGAACATCTTTTATTTTAACATATGCACTAACTCATCAACTTCGGAGCTTGATATTTTAATTTCTCGAGTGAACAAAATTCTCTATACAACATATGTTTTGCAATTATTTTAAACCCCGCACACAACAATTTCACACCCTTCGAACCACCTCTTTTCTTGTCAGATCAACAACAACTCCCTCTTTTTCCAACCAATAAGAATGCACCAACCAATATCTTTACACAATAATTCTATTATTGTATTTTTTTTGACAAAAAAATAAGTTTTGATGTTGCACTTCTAGGCGGGAGCACTATTCCTCAAATTTCATTTGCTTTTATATTATAATAGAATAGATAGATAGATAGATTTTATAAAATAATACTCCGTCAGAAGTACACCGTAATATACATAGTACAACATAAGCTTGGAATGGCTTAGAGGGCGTTTGGTAACACTATTTTCCGGCTTATCAGCCAACTTTTTCACCAAACTCGTAACTTCTGTTTTCGCATGCCGCATTGTGTAATAATAGGAAAAAATATGGTTAAAGATATTTTTCTGACTGTATTGACTGAAGTTACTGTAGATGACCAATATAGCTATTTTTACATATTATTTTTTTTTATTTTGTTAATAGATATATTTTAAAAATAATTTTTTTAACTCAGCAGAATCAGCCAATGCAGGCACTTCAGCCAAAATTTCATAAATTTCAGCAGAATCAGTCGAATCAACTGATTTCTATTGATTTCTGTGTTACCAAATGGGCTCTTAATGTCTTGCCCCAATTTAAAATATAAATGTCGGCCAGCTGCGGCCCAAGAACAAAACGGAAAAACCCGAATGAATATTGGTCTATTATCAATCAGGATGTTCTAAAGAGAGAGAAGGGAGAGGGTTGAGAGCTGGGTGTCGAAGATTCGTGATTCAGCCTGCCTCCCAGAATGGGATGAAGCTTTCTTCGTTGGGTTGTAAGAGTTAAACCGATCCGTGCTTCTGTCCGTCCTTGCTCGCCGATTTCTCTAGCCGGGCTGATTTGGAAGTTTCCATCGCTGCGCATGCCTGAGTTGTTCGCTGAGGTGGTTCGCTTTTGGGTCGCTGGTATTCTTTTTGTTCGTCGAGGCCTAGGATTTCGCAAAGGTGACTCCGTGTGAGTTTGATTTACTTTGAGTTCTCGTGTTTCCATGTTTTGTTGGGGGTTGGATGTTGCTTGTAGGTTCATCACTGGACCGGGTCTTGCATGACTGTTGCTGATTGAGGGGTCTTCAACCGGAGTTCTGTCTAAGCAGATTGTTGTTGGTTGGCCACCCGATTTGTGGACGTTTGAAGCTAAGTCTCCTTTCTTTGATTTCTTTTTACATGATTTGATTTTAAGTTCCTGCATCAACCCTTCAGCGTGTAGGTCTGCATCGAACTGTATAATTTTTTTCATTGCAGAAACAACATACTGGTACTCCGTCTATTCAACTCCTCTTTAATTCTTTTAGCCTTTTATTTAGTATTTGAATCATTTGATTGATTTTATCATTAGTTTATAAGTTATGAATGTTGATAAATGATTAGTTTATTTTAAAATGTTGATTAGTTCATACTCATAAATGATTATTTTGCACTTGTTGATGTTGATTAGTTCATAACTGTTAACATGTTGAATTTTAAGTGATTACTGATTTTTCTGTTATAATAGATTTGAGCTTAATGTGTTAGAAAAAGCCTGATTATGAAGTTTGACGAAAATTGTCACGCCCCAGACCGCAATCCAGGCGCGTGTACAACCGCCGTGTAATCAAGTGACGTCACCCGCGAGTCAACCTCACTTGATTACACAAGGCGTTCGAGAAAGATAATCCATCCATACTCAGTAGTAAACACACATAACAACATCACCTTTAAACCAATGAATAGCGGAAATATTCAACGGTAAGTCATAAGCCACAACCGGCCAATAACATGGGCATGCAAGCCCCAAAAGAATAGTTTATAACAAATAAAAATATCCATGAGCAATGTTTGGTAATTTGAAATAAAATGAGGAAGCACGAACCCCGTCTTCCTTGATTCGATGTCACCCGTAGAAAGGTGCAGGTAGCAAGCCCTAGCTTCAACCTGAAAATGGTGGGGCCCCCCGAAGGGGTCAGTACAAGTACCGAGCGAGTAGCAGGCTAAATATAGAATAACTAGCGTTTCAAGTATAAGACCCAAACATAGGATGATACATATACGTATAGTCCTTCCCCCAAGTTTGAAATACATATTAGTATACATACACTTGGAAATACCCGACCCGTAGGTCATTGTTTAGTTGGGAAAATAATAGTAGCCAATATCCTTGACTTAAATCCCAACCCACCCATACACCTATGAGTGTATAGAACTCCTCATTGTTCAAATAAATTATCATAAGGACACC